TCCCGATCAGCACTTGTCATTTGTGTTCTGTCTATTGTTTTCCGTGCTGTAGTACACCAGAATAATGTATTGGAAAGCCCAACTCGCCACTTTAATAATGAAAAGCAATTTTGCAGTAGCTGTACCAGTTGCTTTTTGGCTGCAATTTTTATAAATCTATTGAGATGCTATATTTTTAATTTATTACAGCAGTTTACTTTGAGCTATTTACTCAGTAGATTATAATAAAAAATCAGATTCAAGCTGAAATTAAACAAAATTTGAGAAGCAAGAGCTTGCTAGTGTCTCTTGCGAGCTTCAGTGTAAAAGGACCAGGAGGGGATGTTGCAGATGTTGGCAAAGAGAGTTGTCCAAACAAGCTTACATATGTTGGGCTGTAGCAAGAATAGAGGGAACCTTATACCTTATATGGGAGTTACCTTATATGGGAAATAAAATAGAAACATTTATATAGCTAAAGCATTCTTGAGAGCTAAGGTTGGTGGGACTCTTAGAGCTTTACCAACTACCAGCTTACTGGGCCTTAAGGCAACCTTAAGGTTGCCTTAAGGCAACCACAAGGCTCTCTATGGCCTTCTCAGAGAGTTGCATTTCGAACAACCGATGTGGTATTGTATTCGTCTGTATTGAGTTCACCTAACTGGGACATGGACACTCATACATAATATGTGTCAGTGTTGGCACCGCTAAGCTCCAGGGGAACTTGTTTCGGTACACTGTGGAGCGTAGCATTGGGTGTGTCTATAAATTCAGTGAGTGCATGATCCCAATCTCTGAACTTTGAGGATGTCAGCTCGACTGAATAGTTGCGTACAGATTTTTCGCACGGTACTTTTGTTGCCCAGTATGTATTTGCATTAGGGACAGCCTTCATGTCAATTTCCTGGTACAGCAGTGTGTAGAGAGCACCAAGAGGTAGAATTTTGGTGGCAAGTCAATGACAAATGCGTCCAGATAATTTGAAAAAAATTAAGTCGTTGAATTAACATAAAGGAAATTGCGCGCTGTTTTGAACTTGGAACGCTCATCTCTATGCCTGCAAAAAAGCAAACAATGCAACGCAATAACAAGTTTGCATTCACTGCCATGCACGTGTGCTGCGGCGAAGCACGCGCTAAAAACAAATTGACTTGATGAACTAGATGAACACATTCGGCTCCACAGCCGTGCGCGTGCGCTGCGGAGAAGCACACAGTAAAGACAAATACAAATTTACCAAACTGAAATTGACAATTTCGGCTTCACCACCTTGTACGTGCGCCACAGAGAACAAAAGTGTTTGTGCAATATGTTTTAACACGCTTGAGGCAATGATTTTTGTTTTCATGGCGCAGTTCAGTTCCACAAAAGCGTGCCAATGTATGTTTCAACCTAAGCATTTGGGGCCATTAAAATTACACCACCCCTATTCTCTAATTCCAAATAACCAACGCGAAACACAGTTTAATTTCGCCATTCCTGTATATCAGCCTAATGAGAGGATGACTCGGAGCAAGTTACACAATTGTTCAGGATGCCATAACAGGTGCCTAAGAATTTAGCACTTTTGCTAATCTACATGAGAAGCCTCTGGGAAAGTGTTCTCGAATTCCGGCAGCATAGCTCTTTATAATTTCACGATGTCTAATATGAAAGGTAATTCTGGCTATTACACATGGGATATCGCCAAACCGAGCGGAGTACAACTGAACAATCGACTGCTTACTTTTTGTGGCAAGGCAGCGCACTGCAGCCTGCTACGTCTGTCGATCGAGCAAGTAGTACAGTCACCACAATGTTGGCAAAATGGCTACGGGGCAGTGATTTGTGACTTCTGCTAGGCGCGGTTCATTCCGTTAATTAAATTGGCCTTTTAATTGCACAGCAGCGCCAAATTTAACGACAATTTGGCAACACTGACCCTGCCAGTCTGGCAACCACTTATGCAACGCCAAAAGGAACCTTTGCCGTAAATATTCTGTAGTCTAAGGCAATGAAGCTGCGCATTTGATTTAAAGTGAATTTGGAAAAGTCATAAAATCTACCGAAGAATTACGGCAGCGTCTCCTGCGATTTGCACGTGCCTCTTTTAGTCGCCGCTGCTGGTCACGGCGCTGCCTGTTCAGTGGCGCTCACGGCGCTCCTCTCATTGGTACTGGCCACTGATCTCCACTAGTGGAGATCAGTGGTACTGGCGTATAGTGGATAGAGAGGTTTTTTTAGTGTCGTGAACGAGGCGGCAAAGCTGAACGATTTTACGATACAGCCTTCAGAGAGCGCAACGGCTCGCTGGTGCGCGGCATTTACGCGTCTGAGTTCGCGCTCTCAGGCGTTTCTTGTTTAAAACAAGCTTTGTGGTAACGGTACAAAGTCGCTGTGCTCGTCACACAGGGATCCGATAAATTTTAAACGAAGGAGAGAAAAAAAATTGATCCTCAGAGTATACTGCGAAGTTATTTTCATCTGAACAGCACATCAACAGGATATTCAACGCGCAAGGAACGAAGATGTAGGAGATTTGGGGCTTCAGTCCCAGTTAACATTCTTTTCCACACAGTTGCGTTTGAGTATAAAGACATCAATATTCATATATATATATATATATATATATATATATATATATATATATATATATATATATATATATATATATATATATATATATATATATATATATAGCTGTTGCATAAAAAATACAACAACCAGAGAGAAAGTGGCAAGGATGTGTTTTGATGCAGAATGTGAGTGAACAGTAAAAAAAAAAGGAAGACAGGCATACCTCAATGAAATAAACACTTAATAAACAATTCATTAAAAATGAACACCAGCAGACCATAACTTGAAATTCATGCACACATGAGGAATAAGTATTGAACATATTAAGAAGCTGCGACAAACGAAATAGATGTATCTTTCACATAATAAATAAGGAAGAACAAGTAAAAGCCAAGCAATGGCTGAATGCAAATTTCGATTTCTCAGTGCCCCTATCGGAAACGAGACTTGGCAAAAACGAAATCGAACCCCCCCCCCCCCCCCTCAGCGGCTGTTCCGATCCCCTTCCACGTACGACCTAAGCTTGACATACTGGTCTTCAAAGAACTTTGTCGCTGCTCTTTTATGCTTACGCAGAATAGCACAAAAAAGCGGGTGTATTTCCCAAATTAACAATTGTCAAAGACAATTAACTCAGTTGAAACAAAAAAGGTGTGGCCTGCTGCCTGTGTAGTTTTTCTCTTGTTGCTTCATCCGTCCAGCAGTTCCTGTATATGACCATTCCAGCCTTTGCCAGTTCAAACATCCAGCTTGGAGGAGGGCAGAGGTTCATCGCAGTAGCTTCCCTCCCTAGTAATCTCATGTATGGGGCATATCTGGTGGCGCCCTCTTCCCCCGTCTTAGTGAGGGTGGCTGTCAGTTCCCCCCCCCCCCCCCCCCTACCACCTGCACACACCTAAGCAAATGACACTGATTTTCAAGAAAATTTTGTCGCAGCTGCTTTCTGCGCACGAGAGCACAATAAAGCGGATATGTTTACCGAATTAACATTTGGTACAGACAGCTCTAAAAGAAAGCATGTTACATACTTTTTTTTTCGTTGGTGCTTTAATTTTCTAATTGGTCTGCCAGTTACTTGTTGACCATTTGAACCTTCGTCAGCCGGAACATCCACCTTGATTGGGGGGGGGGGGGGGGAGGTAAGCAATGGGAAAACTTCATTTAATAAACTTCAATAGAGGAGGCTCTGGTGTTAGGCCGCTGTGATAGCTCAGTGGTTAGAGCATCGAACGCGTTATTCGAAGGAGGCTCTGGTGAGGCAGATGCCATCCTAAAACTAAAATTGCGCGCGGCTAAAATACGTCGAACTCCCAGTTTGTGCATCTTTAGAAGGCTATAAGAATAGTAAAAAAAAATATTTTTATGTCCTTCTATCTCTCCCGCGGAGATAATTAGCGATAATATCTACGGTTAAAATGAGTGTTTAGAGAAGCAGTTTTTCGGTAGAAACGCGCCTTTACATGCCCTCAGAAGTGTGGCAGCTTGTGCTAGTTGGCATGACATGACGATAGTTATAGCGCGAGAACAAAACGGCAACAAAGAGACAAGAAGGACATAAGCACTTGTCTTTTTGTCGTCGTTCTGTTCTCGCGCCATAACTGTCCTCATGTCATACCAACTAGCCCAAGCTGCCACACTTCTAAGGGAATGTAAAGGCGCGTCCCTGACGCAAAACTGCTTCCCGAAACACTCATTTTAACCGCGTAACAATATTATCATCAATTCTCTTCGCGGCAGGGATAGAAGGAAATAAATATAATTTTTACTATTCATATAGCCTTTGCAGATGCACAAACTAGGAGTTCGACGTATTTTAGCCGCGCGCAGTTTCAACTTTAGAATGGAGTTTTAGGATGGAGTTTTACCAGTGCTTTCCTCTCTCTCTCTCTCTCTCTCCCCAATCAAGGGGGATATTTCAGCTGACAAAGGCTCGAATGGTCAATAACCAATAAAAAGCACTAAAAAGACCAATAAAAAGCACTAAAAAAATAAAGTATGCAACAGAGTACGCACCCTTTTTTTAGAGCTGTCTGTACCGATTGTTGTTAATTTGGCAAACATAATCGCTTCATTGTGCTCTCTATGTGGGCGTCAACCACTATACGGGTGCTGACGCATGTGGGCTGACGCAACGCCTACTCCAGAAAGATGCCAGAGTACAGTGTTGCCAGAGGAATGGCTCGCGCTCCCAGCGGAGTTGACCTGCCTTCAGTTTTAAACAAGCTCCGCGCAGTGGAGCTCGCGACCGACACTATCATTACAGCGACGGGCGGTACCAGCTAAGCGTTTTTCATCTGCGGCCCATAGGGGCGCGTCAGTCGAGAGTTGTTCGAGACCTGCAACTGTGCATTACTGTTTCGGAGGCTATGCAAAGTGTTGCGTTGTTGCACCATCCGCCACAGGTGACGCTAGCGACTGAGAACATTTTCAAAATGAAAGAAAGAAAGGGTGTGGCTGCTGTTTTTTTTTCTCATGCGGCAGGCATCTTCCTAGAGGAGGCGTTGGCTGACGTATTAGTCTACTGGTCGGCCATTTCTGTTTGAAAGGTTCGGTCTATGGTGGCTAGAATTGGGAGGTGACGCCAACGGGAGCTCGGAGCCGCTCCTTCGTTTCGAGCAGCGCGGCGGTGGCGCTGTCGGCGGAATGGTGATGCTAGTTACGCGCGCGCGCCTTGAGCGCGCGGACCTTTCAAAGATGCTGTTGCTGAAGCATGATTCAGATAAATTGGCGATTCAGATAACTCACTGTGACGATGGCTGATAGAACGCCATTTCAAGCATTAAAAGAAATTGGCTGCCGCTGCAAGACTTCTGTGACGTTGAATCTGCGCAAATTAAAGCTTTCGTTCGCATATCCCTGCAGTGTTTTGGAGTGCAAGGCGACGGCGTTTTTTTAAAAAAAAATATTACCAAAGTTCTGGGCGAGGAAAATAAAACAAATATTTATTGCACATCATATTATTAGGAAGATCTATTGCACATCATGGAATACAGGGTAAAATAAAATAAAATGAAAAAATACGCACATTTACATACGCTCGGGAGTAGTTAAAAACATTGAAACATTGCACACAGACAGCGCATCGCTTGGCACTAAGTAATAAGAGGCATACAATCACTTTCCACTCGGCAAAAAAAAATCAATAGAGCTTAAAGTTACAATATCAAACTCAGAGCACGCGTCTAAGCTTCAGCAATTTCATTCTTTCCTGCTTAGTGTTTCGTTTGCTGTTCTGGGATTTCACATGAAAGTGGAGCCTAGTAAGAACATAAAACTTGATAATTTTGTTTGTGAGGGACATACTGTGGTCAGGGCAGCCAACAAGTGTAAGCTTTCTTAACTGCAAGAAGGAAACCAAGTCCATGATGCTGTCAGGTTTGACTTCTGTAACACTGAAGCAGTGGGTAAAAGTGTTCTCGAGAGTGGTCACGAGTTCATTGAGCTTGACTGATGGGTACAGCAGGCCTCCTCGGTCAACAGCAGCCGTGAGGGATGCTGCAGCTGGAGATGGATCGTTCTCGCCTTGTAGGAGCTGCTGGCTGCACTCTGCACATTTGGTGCTTGCAACGCTTTTTCTTGCCACATATCCAGCCATGTAGAATATGAGTCTGGCATCGCTGCTTTGCACGACCATGTCTGCATGCTCGGTGCCGTGGCCGTATTCATTGAGCACTTCATGTGCTTCGGCAAGGTTTCCTACGTCAAGAAGCTCGTCTAATTTCCTCCGAGGAGTGAGGTCCTTTCCGTTGTCAGCTCCCAGCAGACTTCTCAGCAGTCCTGAGGACACATTGCTTCCTTTCGGTGGTTTTGCCAAATTCTGGAAGCTCAAAGTGTTGACCGAGATTAGGAACTGGGAGGCAGTCGGATGATCACTGCATCCAGACATTTGTCGGACGATTCCAAACAGCCTCTCCAGGGGGTCCTGACTCAAGCGGCATGTCATCATATAGCTGAAGTTCAACTTCATCGTCAGGTAGCGGAGAAGGTGTAGCGTGCTTGATAAGGTAACACGAAGCCCCTCGGCTGTACTGCGGCTTAGGAAACCTCCGGAGCCAGCAGCTGTTTCTCAATCGTCCAGGTAAGTCAAGAAGTTTTGAATGCACTTCTCGTGCATCCCTCCAGGCTTAAGTGCACCCGAACTGCACCTTGAAGTCATGGCCTCAATGAGCCTTCTCATTCTTTCCACAAAGCTGACTGTCGCCGCTGTGCTCCCATGCTTTTCTTCGATGGTTGCATTGTACAAGAAAAGGCCTCTGAGGACTTCATCACTGTAAAGCCGCACTGCATAATTTACCCTCATTTTCTCAAAGCCATTGGGATGCACAACCGATTTGCTAATATGAGGCATGGCTTTGAGAGTCGTGTCATGCTGTTCATCAAGCTTCCGGGCACAGTCAATAGGGTCAACACTGGCATGGCCTTCTGGCAGTTTCACGCCCGTTCGAACAAAGGTGTTCCTCACACATTTAAGAAGGTGTGGGAAGTCCGAGATGAAGTGCAGAAAACGTTCTGGGTCTGTAGGGTGCTGCCTTCTACATACTGTGTTTTCTTTCCTGCCGTGTATGCCGAATGAGTGCCACATGCTTCTGTTCCACGCATCTCCATCAGTGGTGATAAAGTCTACGTGCAGACCGGCGTTTTCGCTCATGACTACTGCTTCGAGGATTATTTTGCCTAACGTCTCGGACTTCACATTGCTGCGTGATGCGAACACACCAATAATCTGGTGCCACGTGCCTGTAAAAGGCACGAACAATACTACAAGGCCATGGTCACATGCTACGGAGCGCTCACTCTCTGGTGTGAACTTCCCAAGGTCCACAAAACCTTCGATGGTGCCATCGGTTCCCAAGCTCAAGTGTTCAGATAGGTTAATCTCATCAATTAACAGCCCACCATGGCGCTGGAACAAGTCCATAGATTTTGTTTTTTCCGCCACAGCAGCAAACACTTTTTCGCTCAGGCCGAATCCACTCCTGTAACGCTTGAGATATCGACGTAGTGATGTTCGAGAAGGCAACGCCATGATGTTGTTTTTGCGTATATGCTCATAGAGGCGTGGGCTTTTCATGGACATAATAAGGCACTCTAGAGCCCATTCACTTTCATACTTCATCCCTTTCGTGGATTTTCTTTTAGCCGCAGCAAAGCACGCCTTGACTTGTTGCTGCTGCTTAATGGGTAGGGCCTTCACCGCTTCTTCAAATGCTGTAGAATCATTCCGTGCATTCTTTTCTTTCATTTGTTTGATGAGTGATTTAGCCTGCAGGACACTCAGGCGACTCCTTTTCGCTTGCGCTGTTCGCAGCTTAAGCCTGTATGAAAGCTTTTGGGACTGGGCCACATTTTTGCCTTTTCTTCGCCTGTAGGACTCACGATTCAGGAGTAGTCTTCTGAGGTGCTTGCATTGTGGGCAGGCTTTTTCTGGCGTTGGAGCAACCCCACGGCAAGATGGGCTGAAGGTTCTGCCATCAAAAGTCTTCTCCTTGTACTTTAAATTCACTCCAAATTCACCAGTTTTACCAAACCCTCTGCATGGTATCATGGAGTCGACGTCGCGAAGCAACTCTTCTGCCATTTCGATGTCGGTAATGTCAAGGGTCTTTATTTTTGTGGCTTGCACAAAAGCTGTCGCTTGAAGTTTGTTTTCATCTGATGTCATTAGCACATACTTGTCAATAGTCAACTTGTCACCATCTAGTGCGCAAACTGTAAACACCGTGGCGTTGTCGGCTCCAGCAATTAGATGTCGAGCCCAGTAAGCGCTGGGAAGACCACACTTGCGGACGTCGGGAATTGCGGGCACATTCGGAACAGGTATTTGGTTACTGTCGCTTTCTGTGCTGTACGAGCCAGCTGTCTCCTCGCAAGCAGACGTGCTTGGTTCCTGACGCCGAATTTTCGATGGTAGGCCGCAAGTGGATGTTCTTGACGTCCTTTTCTTCGGCACTTTCTTTGAAAGATACGCAGGAACATTTGGGAATATGGTTGGCACCGCGTCAGATTTCAGCACCGGTTTCCCTCGGGGAATCTGAACAGTTTCGCCGTTTATCACATGCGTGTAAAAACGCTCAATAAACTGCTCGTCGAAATGAAGCTCACATAGCGCCGACTTCACGTCCAACGACTTGTCGGCACGGGGTACGGCTCGTTGCCAGGCTTCGAAGAGGGCAGGGTCTTTGGGAACAGAGAAAAGAGAAGCACGCTGACCTTGCTCCCTCGATGACACATAGCCGCTCGTGCAGCCAGGAGCAAAGCAGTGGCGTTGCCTCGCTTTCGTAGTGCTGGAGTTCATCCTAAGGTCGGCACTCACACTGTCATGTCAGCAACTAAATACATTTTGCCATAAGCGAGACATCAACGCGGAAAACTGCACACACCCAGACACGCTTCCAGAGGCGAACCAGCGAACCCAGCGGCGAGTCGACGAGAGAGCGCGCGCTTTCGCCCGCATCACTATGCCGACAGGAGCGCCGTGGTGGCCGTCGCGGCGGCGCTTGAAAACGAGGATCGCGCGCGCTCGGCGAATATGCGGGCGCTGGCGTCACCTCCCAATTCTAGCCACCATAGTTCGGTCGGAAGGTTCGGTGTGCCCTTGTAAGTTAACCATGTCTTCGCGGTACTCGCGCCCACCCAACTCCTCACTATTTATTCGAAACGTGCCCGACGGCACTAGGTACGTATGACTTTTTTGTGCTCAAGAGTTGCACCGTATGTGTGCGCTGCATAAGCTATATGAGATAACCTGCTTGGGATACATCGGTTAGGCCTGGTTTGGCCATGCTGATAATGCCATGAGTATTAGATCGTAGATCGTGTAGATCGTGTGGGGAATTTCGCGCACTTCTTCAGGAAGCTTGTGGTAACATATCGGGGGTAGCTTTTTCCTATATAGTATTAATTTGTTCTGCGTTGTGGTTTAGGCCTAGGCATGTCTTTGTCTCGATTACAGCTAGCCTAACCCCCGTATTCACAAACGCTCCTCGACTCGACTTTCACCCTTCGCTTGGCAAAGTTGAGCACTGCGCCGCTGCTCGGCTGAAAATGACGCTGCGCTGCTCGAGAATTGCACCACATTATCGCTGATGTGCAGCGACTTGCCTGGCCAAGCGAAGGCGCTTTCTCAAGTGAAGGTAAAGCGTTGAGTGCAGGGACGTTCTAGAATACGGGGGTTAGGCATTAGGAGAGTTTTAGAATCGTCTTGGCAAAGCTTTGCGTATGCTATTTTTGCGGTCGCTGATATTAGAGAGAATAGCGCACCGCGAGTCCTTGCGGTGCGGTCGCTGCTACTGCGCATGCATCTCAACGCGAGTTGCCGTTCGCGGTTGCGGCCCGCCCGCAGAAAACCCGAAATAGCGTACGGTGATCGCGGCCCGCGAAGTGCTATGTGTAGCTTCCGTGCATTTGGGTTTGCGGTCAGGGCGAAAGTCCCTAGATTTTTCCCTTGGGAAGCAAACGCTATTTTAATGGCCTATACGGTTAGGCGTTTTCGAGTGCCCTAAAAACTGACTGTGCCTTCGGTTAGTTGAATTAGAGCGTGTGGACTATCTTTGGTTGCGTCAGGCTCTGAGTGATCGGGAGCGCACCGACGATCTCTCAGACTTCAAAGTGAGGGTGTGGCGCGATTTGACCGATGATGTACCTACAAGGATGAGAGGCCAAATTAGAGGGAAGTGGACTTGGCTTTGACCTCTCATTCGTCAAACAAGGAACACTCGTTGAACAGGCACTACCAGCATTGATGTACGCAGAGTATATAGTGCTAATGGCCGACAACAAGGAAGATTTGCAGAATTTATGGACATCTGCGGTAATGAGGGAGATAGGCTAGATTTCAGATTCAGTAAGAAAAAATCGGCAGTCATGATTTTTAATGATAATGAAAGTAGTGAGCTTAGAATACAGGAGGTCATGCTAGAGGTAACAGATAAATACAAATATCTGGGCGTATGGATAAGCAATGGGACCGAGTAGCTAAGGGAACACGAAATATACACAATGACTAAAGGTAACAGGCATGCAGCAGGGATGAAAAATAGGGCACTGTGGAATTACAACAGGTATGATGTTGTGAGAGGATTATGGAAAGGGGTCATGGTTGCTAGTCTAACGTTCGGCAATGCGGGCTTGTGCACGAGATCAGAAGTTCAAGCAAGATTAGAAATTAAGCAGTGCGGAATAGGTAGACTTGCCTTAGGAGCTCACTAAAATACACCAAATCGGGGAGTACAAGGGGATATGGGATAGACATCATTTGAGGGCAGGGAAGCTAGTGGCAAGATAAAATTTGAAAAGTGATTGAGAGAATCGGGGAGGAGCGTTGGGCTAGGAAGGTATTCAGCTACTTGTACATGGAGAATGTCGATACAACATGGAGGAAGCGAACCAGAAAATTGACTGGTAAATACTTAGGAAACAGCAGGGGGCCAAACCAAAAAGAATTGTGGGTTAAGAAGAAGTTGAAGAAAGCTGAGACTGATATGTGGGGAATTGGCATAATTAAGAAGTCCGAACTTGGAATCTATTGAACTTTTAAGCAGGAAATTGCCTAGGAAAGGATCTATGATAATACTCGGAGTAGTTCTCTACTCTTTGAGGTCACGAAGGGAGTATTGTGAACCAAGACATGTCGGGCCAAATACGAAGGGGTACGCAGGGCATGTGGAGAGGAGGAAACTGCCGAACACTTGATAATGTTCTGTAAAGGGCTTCACCCTATAGTTCAGGATGATGGCGCAGAGTTTTTCGAAGCACTGAGGTTTAGGGACAGGGAGGGCAAAATAGACTTTAAGCGGGTAGAATTAACTAGAAGGAGGGTATTTGATTGGTGGGTAAAGTCAAGGCACAAGGGCAAATTAAACCCTTCACTGCAAAGTACCAGTCCTCTACTTCACTATTTAAAGAAAAAAAAAAGATAAATCTAGTTGTTGGTTCACGTAAGTATAAAAGCTGGGGGGCGTTAGCCACCGCCCAATCTAAAGGGTACAGCCACATCCATCCATCGACGGATCGCGTGACACAAGCCAGCCGATCACGGGGCTGCTAGCAGGTGAACGAGGTGAGGAGCGCGAGTAGCATTTCGGAAGGTGGTATCGCCGGGCATGTAATGCTTAGTTCACAAGTGTTAACGGCCTTCTTGCGCGTGTGTGGGGCGAATGCACATCCACGAAGCTATAAGTGCACCATGTCAATTACTAGGTGGCTAGTGAAGGCGGAGGAAGCGTCAATGCTGTCTTAACAGCAGCTCGCCGACAGCCTTGTGATATGTGCCTTGAAGATAGCAGCTCGGACGAGGACGATCACCAGATTGATGTGCTGAGCTCAGAAGGCTTTGACTACATCTAGACATGTCAGAGAGGGAACGAATATAAGGAAGGTCAGACACATTGGAGATGCCCACTGAACGGATCGGCACCATTTGTTGACGCGGTGGTGCTACAGGTGCGCTGCTCTAAGCGCTCGGAGATCGCCGATGTATTTGGTTGGTACGCTGCCTCTCGCGCTCAGATTCTGAGCTGCCTCTGCGTCTGGCGACTGAGCCAGAGGACCAGAGTGGCCAACCGAATACGCCATGACACACGGGTACAGGAAATGCCATTCGGTTAGAAGGCATTCAGTCCCAGAGTGGCATATTTTGGGGCGGAGTTGCTACACTTCCAAAATGAATGACACTTGACACGAATGAAGTCTATCACACCATCTTCTGTTGTAAGCAATTGTAGAGTAGTAATAGAAAAATAAGCATGCGTTTACAAGCTACATATAACTTCGAGAAGAATTAAATGTAGAAATAAGCATATTACAATGCTGTGAGACTTTATTCTTTGCTTTGTTTCACGATGTTGTAACCGATCGTGTAGCAATCTAAGCTAAAGCTAGTCAGATCCGCAGCGTGAAAAGAAAATGGCGCCTGTTGCATTTATTTTACAGCGTCTGCCAGCTGCAGAAAAGTTTCTAAGCATTTGTTTAAGTGATTAGTGTAAATAAAAGACATGAAAAGTTTTCTTTCAGTCGAATCCAATGTCGTTTTATATGAGTACTTCATCAGCTGTGCCGTCGAGAGTACGCATTTCTTAGTTGAATGAGTTCTGCCGATGGCATTGACGAATGCCATTTCGTTGAATTCAGATTGAATGCCATACCGCGCGAATGGCATTCACTCTGAAGGCATTGGGAGGTAAATGACATTTTCTCTGCCTGTAAGGCATGGGTATAAAACTCGTATGGCGCCCGCTATGCACGCAGCACCTGCAAACGTTATTCTAAAACTCCCTATTGAGGAGTTCTAAAATAGCGCACCGTGAGCCCTTGCGGTGCATTCGCTGCCATTGCGTATGCATCGTAATGTGAGTCGCCGTTCGCGGCCCATCCGCAACAATCCGAAATAGCGGCTGCGTCTGCGGCCCGCAAATGCTGGTATCGAGGCTACGGTGTCGGTGCGATTGATTGTTGCGGTTTGTAAGAGGGCAAATGTATTCTAAAACTCATATTGCACCCGCTATGCCGGCGACACCTGCAAATATTCTAAAGGTCCTACTGTGCATGCGTCGTAATGCTAAACGCTGTTAGCATTTGTGGTCCGCCCACAGAAAATACAAAATGGCGTGCGGCCGGCAAAGCCCCTTTGCAATAATACGTGCCGCGGGGGACACACTATTCGAAAACTGATGGCACCCATGCGCGAATGCCTCGCCCGCGAACTTGTCACACGCTAATAGCAAACTCTCTATTATTTGCTATGTAGTTTGCTTGTAAAAGTGTTTTAGTTGTGTCGTTTGTACGGTAAGTACAGCTATACCGTATCTACTATCGTGGTCGATACGTGGCGATATAAATCTGCGTGACCTGTTCTAGCCACGCCCACGTTATCGAATGGATGTTTCACACTCACCGCAATGGCAACAGGGGGTACTAAAAGATGCTGCCACGTTTAAGTGCACATATGTACCGACATGCCTCGCCTGACTCTAGACAAATCTGTGCATTCGGCCAGCATCACCGTTATGCTAGATCTTGCTTGCACTGTGCATGTTTGGAATGCCAGGTATGATTGGTTGATAAACCCAAGCCAGATTTTATCACTACTGCGATGCCGGCCAAAAGCATTCACCCAGCGATAGCAGTGGTCAGTGTGCAGACCAAAACTGCATGGTATTTCAATAGTTATGTTATGATAAACTCCACTTATTGGAGTGGATATTTGACTGGCATATCTGGCAGGATTGTGTATGACTTGGCTGGCAGTGTCTGCTCATTGGCCGGCTAAAGTAATGGGGCTAGTGCCGGCATCCTGTAGCAAAATGCGTTTAGGTGGCGTTGCGGGCAGGCGGAGCTCGCTTTGGCTAGTGATCGTCAAATGAAGCATGCCAGCATAGTTGGCCGGCACATCTTCCTTCACCCCACGTGGCTGAGCTGCCTAGCGTTTGTCCTGTCCTCAGCTGTGGCTGCCTCTAATACTATCAACTGACAGGTCATCAAAGCATGTTTGCTTCTGGAATCGTCCAGTTTCAAACAAAATAAATGAGTGATGACCATTGGATTAACACTGCTAGAGTACGCTCCTACTCCGGTGCTCAACTGCTGATGCCGCCGAAAGCACTCTTTCCGAAGCTGTCGGTTGATTGCGTTGTACGCGTCTGCGGCAGAGCGCTGGTAACACACTCGCACATTTCCTTTCATATGCACTTTACAGTTTTTAAAAGCTTCTTGTAAAAATCTGTGTGAATGGGTCAGAGCATGAGAATTGTATTCCTTTTGTTCTAGGGCTTTGTTCCATTTGCACGGATTTTTACAAGATGCTTCTACCTCACTTTAAAGGAGCACTGACACAAAATTTCAGTGGTGAAATAATGAGCGAGATCGATTTGTCGGAACGTACAAATCTATGAAATATCAAGGGCAAATACAGCATAGGACATATTCAAAATAAAGTTAGGCACATGCCACGCGACTGAGCTAGACAGACCCGCTTGCGGCGCATTCAATGTGGTAGCCATGTAAACAAACCTATAGCATGAGTTTATATTGGCTGGTTACTGGCACACGTTTTGTGCTACTGCGCTGTTTGTGCTACTTGCGGTATCTTCCTCCGTGTCAGCGACTGTGTGTGCACTGCCTGTCAGTGCGGTGCCCCCTCTAGCATGGTATTTCCTCGTCCGTTTTGCGTGCTCACGTGGCCAGCTGTGTTTACTTTGCCCGCGAAACTGCTCCTGCCTAACTCTGTGCTCTTTGAAACTGAAACTGTGACAGGACGCTCTAAAAACCGCTCTGAATAATCATTTCGCACTCGTGCAAACGAGGTTTTTAGCTGTAATAAGAGGGTCACAAAATACTTGTAGCAACAATAAAAAACCAACTTGTAAAAGTTTTTGCCTCGGTGCTCCTTCAACGAATTCATGTCGTTTTCTTTTAAAGGGGCTCTAAAGGCAAAAATATTAAGTTTATGTTGATTGCTGAAGTAGCAGTTCAGAAAGCCTCATAGTGCTACTTTCGTGCCAAGAAAATGTTTGTTAAAATAAAATGTGTTTCAATACTTTACATGGCACTAGCACTTTTGAAAGAGGGCTGACAAAACTTCGCACTTTTTTGTTCTTTTTAATAGGTAGTCCATGGTCGACTTGTCATGGCTGAATACCTCTGGTGCGCGACGGTTATTTCCGTAGAGATGTTTTTAGAGTGCCAGTTGCAGTTCTGGTTTCAAAAAGCACCTAACTAGGCAGTTTAACCACTTTGTGATTCAAAACGAGCTTTAAGACCCTGAGTGCCCCAAAGCCATACAACAGCCATGGCAAGTCGTCCTTGCCATACATGCATGCACAACAGTTGTTCAGCAGACACTGTAAGCAAATATACAACGAACACGCTTCTGACAGCAACTCTGCTTGATTTTGAAGAGCATTTTGCTTGAATATTCAGTGCTATACTTGAGAACAACTTTCTGTGGCAATGAAGGAAAAGCTATGGAACCTAAGTGGGCGTGTGGCACTGCTGAAAAATGTAGTTGCACAAATGCGTCTATTTTTCATGCAAAAATCATAAAAAACACACAACATTGTTATTTTCTACAGGATGCTATTTTTATAAAAAGATTCTGAATGAACCAAGGAGATAGTAATATTTGTTTTGATTTAGGAAGTGTAATTTCGCTTTTTACACTTCTGAAAACGTCGCACGTTTTAGGTGCACCTCATAGTTTAAGTGGCATCTTCGCCTTTGGGTGAACCCGCGTCGCCCTCCAGTTGTTCCGATTGCTCGCCGAGTGAGCTTGTGTTAAATTTCACTCGCAGATGGCCCTGTAAACAGACATAGCAAGTTCTATGCTGTGGTATTCGAACACTGCCATAATTCGAAAATTGAGTCTAGCCAGACTACTTCGCGGAGGAGTACACTTGCAGTAGCTCCACCCCCCGTAGCTTTCCCTTGTCCCCGAGTAAAACAACTCCAGCAGGACAGACTGGTTGCCAGGGTCGAGGAGTCTGCACGCAGTGAGCATGCACTCTCAGAGCAGCACAAGAGTCCCCACTATTTATTACTTCATGCACGAAAGGGTGCCACTTTGGGTGAATTCTGGTGGATGCCAGGCGAATATTCACTCCACAGCTGAAGACCTTAATACAATAGTATGAATGATATGGTAATACCATCACTACTAAAACGCTCTAATGTTATGAACTGAAGGCGTTACAAAGTAATTATTTTTCATTTAGGCTTAGTTCATTTATTGTAGTGGTTCCTTTTCACTGCCTTCAAGGGCCCCTAAACCACCTGCAATATTTTTCAAACATTTCTAGTAAATGCGCATTGTGTGCAGAGTGGCATCAGAATCAACAGTGTCACATGTGGCAGCGCTTCGAGCCGCAGGCACGCCACAAATTCTAAAAAATAACCTTCCCTCTCTGGGTCTCCAGCCATCGTGTGACGTCACGAAGTTGAATCTTATGTATAGCGCAAATCATGCTGCGATTGCTGAAGCAAGAACCTACGATTCCAGTTAGTCCGCAAGCATCACTCACCTATGACATATGCCTAGGAGATTGAAAGGTGCACTTGGTGAGGAGGGCAAAGTTGCTTTGGGAGATAAATTTGGTGAAAGGTAGGGAAGGAAAAATAAAGGGGCAATCGCCAAGGTTCGACCATCAAATGCGTCCGACTCTGCTATTATGGCACAGTTTAAAAAAAATTCTCAAAGCTGTCTTGTTGACACTGTACAAGTTTACCGCTACAACTGCATTTCAATCTGTGGGTGATTTAGTGGCCCTTTAATGCAGTCCAAGAGTGATTGTTGCGTTGTCCCTGCTTAGACTGTTAATGGGTTATTTTATTTGTTGAATTTTTTTTTTTTGAGGAATGAGTTTACCCCTACGGTATTTTCTCTGATGTAGACCGGATGACCTGCGAAGTTTATTTGGTAAATATGGACCCTTAACCGATGTCTATATACCAGTGGACTACTACACTCGTAGACCTCGGGGTTTTGCGTACGTGCAATATCCTTTATGGAATCAATTGCTTTCTCAGCTGTCACTGAGTGATTGACTGTTTGTGAATTTTTTTTTCATGTGCCTTGCTGTAACTGCAGTAGCATATGATGCATTTTGTGTTTTTCTTGTGTGATTTCATGTGTGTAATTAATTTTTTTTAATTGTTCTACCAGACGCTCAAGGTACCAAGTGTGCCAAGTAAAGTTAACTAGTAAAGATCTCCAAGATCATCTAGCACGTTGGAGAGGGCATCCGCACACAAGGGCTTACAGAAAACAGCGAGCAAGAACAAGCTCTGCTTTAGGGTGGTGTGCATGAAAATCTGGTGTGCAAGAAAGAGTCAAGCAAGGGTTTCGAGCATTTCTCAAAGACACAAGCGTCGAAAGATTTCTCAAAGACACAAGCGTCGAAAGATTTTGCAAAGGCACAAGCGTCGAGAAAGATTTTGCAAAGGCACAAGCGTCGAGAAAGATTTTGCAAAGGCACAAGCGTCGAAAGATTTTGCAAAGACACAAGCATCGAAAGGTGTAGCGCCACACACATGTTGCAGGTATAGTCGGACAGTATCCTGGTGTTTTTTTTTTTTCTTCCTATATTTTCTTTTTATTGCTGCTGTTTGCCCACTGCATTTTGCTGGATTCCTTAACTTAACCACGTTTGAAGATCTCCGGGATGCCGAAGATGCCATGTATTCGCTGGACCGCACGAGGTTCTATGGCCGTGAGCTCGAAATAGAGTTCGCTCAAGGAGACCGAAAAAGTAAGCAAACATGTCCTTGTCTCTTTTTACTGCCATTTTAAAGTAGCGATTTGGTAGTACTGCACATTGGAAAACACATTACCTATAGTGGTAATTTGCATCAATGTGGTACCTGCCAGTTAGTTTTGATATCAAGCGAATGTATACCTGGGCAAGTTTTACTTTCTAGGCATTTGGTATATAGTGTGAAGTGTGCCGACAGTGTAAGTGGTTATACATAGTGTGCACATGCGTCACACAGCGCTCTTTCATCACTTCCGAAATGCACCACTGACATACCTGGGTACCTATAGACTCCGCCGCCGACTGCTGCCGTATTGTTTCCTCGTGCTTGCGTCCATTCAGTTTTGCCTCACAATGTAAGTTTGAGCAATTATCAGCTGCTGGTGAGGAAAGTTGATTTAGCAGCCCACAAAGAGGGAGCAAAGCGTGTTCTCTTTGCCGAAAGTTATTATCTAAAATTGAGAACTCTCATTGCTATTTTCTGAAAAGCATCGGCATGTTTGGCTGGCGCAGACTAACAAAAACGACTTGAAGAACCTCGGCGATATTTGCATCTTCAGATGTAACTTCATTAAGGGTAAGCGCTTTGTCCAAGCACGTACAGGTGCTTTCAGAATAATTCGGAACATGCGGCCGCTAATTGGCGAAGTGCACCCTGCGGATAAATACAGGCAAGGTCTGCACATGCACGGTCTACCTAGTGAGCAAGTTTCGCCTTAGTGCATCTAGATAGGCATTGTCTCTCTCCAAAAGGGTAGTTCTAGGTGCTGTTCAAGCAACGAGGGCTCACAGAGAGGGGCATTTAGCATGCTGTGCTCCGTAAATCATAGGTATGAAAGCTGCAAGTAAGGTGGCATGGCTACAATGGCTTTGCTTGCTGCCTTCTTTAAACCGCGTTAATCTGTCTTGCGAAGTACTGATTTTTGCTTAGATTATACGAGGACGATTTGTACTATCCTGCGCTACACTGTACCTGCACTCCCTTACAAGGGTTAGTGATACCGCCAATAGAACATTTGAGAAAATGTAATAAGGCAGCATGTTAGTGAACGCAAATTTCAGGCAAAGGACTGATTTCATGCGTACTTTGATAAGCTCTGCTCTACTCGAGAGTTTTTTATTCGTGCACCACATTCATGGTTCGCATATCTTTGTGCACCAATGAATTCTAGGCTCATGGTAACGAGTATTTTCACATTTCGATCGTGCGTCATAGTTTGTTGCCACAGACATTCATTTTTTTCTGCTGAAGTAGTATACAATGCTAATCAGTGGTGGTATGTCTCAGCTAAATAAATAGCATCATAGGATATATTTATAACAGGCAGAACACTGTTTATTTTTCCACACAAAACAAAGAATCCAAAATCAGCTGTTTGCTCTACATGCCCATGGTTACATCAGATGAAAACGCCACCCTTTGCCAGCGCTAGTAAGTCACATTCAGTAAATATTCTGGCGAAATGATGAAAAAACAACGAAAAAAAGCTACGCGCTCAAATGCGCATGCAAACATACAGCTTGTCAATGACACCAACCACTCAACTCCCTTATCAGAGGACCAAGGGGCACTCAGTGCTACCGTTTTGTAGCAACACAACGCAAATCTACATGCACTTAAGAGGAATACTTGTTTTCTTGGGAGACTGCGCACGTGCAGACCATCGGTACTACTTTTTTTCGAGCACGCTCCACCGGCGAGCAGCTGCGTGTCCAGTGTTCCGAAGAATTATTCTGAGAGCGCCATCACCTGCAAACAGAGATAGCTTACCGTAATACTACTTATACAAACTTGTCCGCGACCACAGCGTGCACAATCAGCGTGTCAGGGATGCGGTTAAAATCAAAGTAACGATCGCAGGAATTTGGGTATTGCATTGAAACAGACTGTGAAAATGGATTTTGTAATCAAGTGCCTGCCTGTTGACGAGAGTACACGTCGCGCTTTCATGAGTTCGGTGAATACATTCAACGGGTATATGTCATTAGCTGTGAATGTCATTCACTATGCTGTGTAGAGGCAACAAAAATGACATTAACCTCTAATGGCATTCACAGAATGACACTATAGGTGCCGTGCGACAAGGGTATTAAATCGTGTCATTTTGTGCTTTCAGTGTTAGTTGAGCCACACCAGAATTGCTGAAATACTAATGTGTTGCTCTACAAGATTGAACAAATGCCTAAGTGTGTGTACAGGTCCTTGAAAACCCTTGAATTTGAAAAATGCATTTTGAAGACCCTTGAAAGTCCTGGAATTTTTTTTTCCCATCCTTAAATTCTTGAATTTCCTGAGCAATACCAATCGACATTGCTGCCTCCTCTATGTGGTAGATCGGCATACCTGCTAAGTTTCCCGTATTTCGACCAGTTCTTACGTTTGTACGGTTTTTGGGAAAATCTCCCAGAAATTGAAATTTCAGTGTGTGATCTGGCCGCATTGACAAAAATGCAGCCCAACCCGATCCAGACTTTTTGAGAACCCATCACATTTTACTGCAAACGAATTTAGGAGTCGTTCTAAACGTACAGTATAATCTCAACTGTGCAAAACCGGCAGATATACGAATTCGAGAGATTCCCCAGCGAAGTTCTACTATGTGCATTGGGCCAGAATTCGGATGTTCTGAGTTCTTTTTGTCATCGCGGCGGGTCGTATGAACTTAAGTGCCGAAACCGTGAAACGAAGGGGCAGCGTGCTCAAAGCTTTGGAAGGATACGCGGGGCCAGCGCACGCCCTGTCAGAACTTCCGTTATCACCCCCCACAACCGCTGTAGACGAAACTGTGGTTGCTCTTGACATGATCATGTGTGGCGACCACGTTACAGAACTCTGAAAGTGCACGCACGTTCAACGCTCGACCAGTTGAAGCGACGGTGCGTTCGACAAACGCTGCGGACAAAATAGCAGCAGGTTCAAGCATAAATAGCAAAAAACAGGCATGGTTTTAAAGGTACATGCGCAACCAGCGTACGTGAATATAAATCGAAACTACCAGTTTCCAAACCGCCGCATTCAAAATCGCGGTTGCGGGCGCGGGTAACACAGCGTTAGAGGCAATAAAGATGTAAAAAATGCGAAAAGTGTGTTGGCTTTTCTTTCCAAAGAATAAGTAACGTTGTTCCTGTCGATCTGGGTACTTTGGCTATACTTATTTATTTTAGAAACAGTCAGAACCGGCTACAACGAACGCAGCTTCAACGAGAAATCCTCGATTCCCTATGAGCAGTCCATAGGAGTCAATGCATAAATATTGTCGCCACAACGAACACTTCTGCCGTTCCGTTTTAACAAAATTTCGCGATGCGATTCCAGGCTCAGATATTGCTACACAGTAAACCTAACCTTTAACATTTTGATGCATTTTCAGAACCTGAAAATACGACGACGAAGTCTAAAACCACGCGTTGACACCACCAAAAACCACCGTTGTTCAGCAAAGCATAAGCGCCGCCGTTGCCATCACAATTGAGCAATGGCGGCGCCCAAGCTTGCTGAACAGTGGTGGTTTCTGGTGGTGCCAACGCGTGTTTTAGACTTCGTCGACGTATTATCAGGTTCTAAAAAAGCATCAAAATGTTAAACATTGGGTTTACTGTATAGCCGCAGACAATCCGAAGTTGAAGCTCAGTTGCTTAGTTCATGGTTTCCTTCGCGCAGCTGCTGGGTGCATCTGTGGAACGATGCCTTTTCAGATTCTAATGCTTATTAGTTTTTTTGGCCAGTGTGGTAACTAATCAGAGCGGCTGTTCGTTCGTCCGCATTACCAACAGAATCAGCTAGCCGCGAGTGATAGATAATAATGGCATAAAATAAGGCAAAAGTCACCGCTCCAGATACCCTGCTGCCATTTCGTTGTTTCGACTGCGGACAGCTGCTGCTGTTAACGCGTTAATGCAACTGTTTGGTTCGTTGACGAAAGTGGTTGTAGTCATTGCTTCAGCGTGCTTTTCAGCCTGGGCAGACTATACATGGGTGGGAATCTCGTCGTGACGCTGCTGGGATAGAATAAAAAGGAGCGGACACTTTTTGAATTTTGAGAATAAGCGTTCCTTTGTTTTGCTAGTTCATATTGGCTATATTTTTTCGATTTCACTACAACGAAATTTTCGCTTCTACGAAAATTTTTCCGCGCCCCTTCAGTTTCGTTGTAGTGGGGTTCGACTGTAATGTCAACCCTCTATTTAGAGTCAGTACACGAAAGGTACGACGCACGGTACAAAGTAGGCACATAACTGTACTTCTGACAATGACAAATCTGGTATACATTACTATACAAATCTAAAAAGCTCTACAATTTCCAAATGAACAACACACCTGAATTAGCAATGCAACAGTCGCCACAATTTTCATAATAAATCTCATAAATGTAAATCAAGTAAAACCACAAATTCATTAACATTGTCTGCATTGACTACATTACTTGGTAACCCATTCCATTCTTCGATGACATCAGGGAAAAAAGCATAATGGCTTGCCTTCGTTCGCGCAAAGTAAGGTTGCAGTACTCGTCTGTGGTTTGCCCTCTCGTTTCGTTTCCGATTGTTGTACGTAGTCGTTTCTGTTAATTTTAAACTTGCCTTCCAATAATTGAAAAAAAAAAAACTTTAATCTATTTTTGTCAGCACTTCTGCAGTGTCTCCAGATCAGAGTTGTATTTCTGGGACTAAGTCGGTTTGCTTATATCTTGAGCATACATAGCGAGCCTCAAGCCATTGTATGCGTTCAAGTTTATTTACCACCACTTCTTAGTGGGGACTCCAGACAATACTGGCATATTCCAGTATTGTCCGTATAAATGTTTTAAAAGCAAGAAGTTTTACGTCCATACTTGATTAAGTTTGTTAAGTACAACTTCTATGAAGCCCTAGAGCAAACTTTATCAATATGTGTATGCCACTTTAGGTTATGCGTTATTGTGAGGCCTATGTACTTAAACGCATTAACTGTATTCAAATGGAATTGTCGCTTTCTTCCTAGAAATGTTGGCAACAAT